CAACAAGAAAATAGCCAGGCATTGTGGCAGGCGCCTGTAGTCCCAGCTACTTGGGAGGCTGAAGCAAGAGAATCACCCAAGAGTTTGAGGTTGCTGTGAACTGTGACGCCATGGCACTCTACCAAGGATGACATAGTGAGACTCTGTCTCTACAAAAAAAAAAAAAAAAAAAAGAGTCTCACTTCATTGCCCTTGGTAGAGTGCTGTGGTGTTACAGCTCACAGCAACCTCCAACTCCTGGGCTTAGGCAATTCTCTTGCCTCAGCCTCCTGAGTAGCTGGGACTACAGGTGCCCACCACACCACTCAGCAATTTTTTGTTGCAGTTTGGCTGGGGTCAGGTTTGAACTTGCTACCCTCAGTATATGGGGCCGGTGCCCTACCCTCTAGGCCACAGGCACAGCCGAAAAAAAAAAAAAATTTTTTTTCTCACAATGATACACTGAGAAAAAATATTTGGCAACTAACATCAAAGGCCAAGAATTAATTTCCCCAAAACATGAAAAGCTCTTGGGAACTAGTAAGCAAAACACCAACCACTCAATAGAAAGTGGGCAAAGAATATGAATAGATAGTTTGCCAAAAAGTAACTACTAATAGCCATTATATACATGAAAATATGCTCAACTTTACTGACAATAAGAAATGCAAACTTGAACTGTCAAGACACTATTACCGAGAAGACTAACAAAAAATCCAAAGTTTGACATGTCTCTCTTTTGGTAGATTAGGGAAGAAAAAAGCACTCTCATGCTAAGAGTATATATTGGTACACTCCCTACAGAAGGCATATACTTTTTTGAGGTAATCATTTAAGCTGTTAACAAATACCTCTCTAGCTGTTTTAAGATATATATACTACTCTTTAAGTAAGATACGGTTAAATGATTTGATTTACCCAGGGAAATATGAGCAAAAGTGATTGATGTATGTAACTTCTGCAGAAGTTTTAAGAGCTAGAGTGGAATTTGCTATGTTATCATTTCTTCCCATTTACCACTGTTGACTGGCAATGGCTGTCCTAAGCCTAGAATGCAGAGAGAAGACAACTTAAAGCAGAACTCCTTGACATGCGGCATGTGATGCAACATAGGCTAGAAACAGACCTTTGTTATTCCAAGGCACTGACAAATAGAGGGCAATATGGCAATATTTATCAAAGTTACAAATGCATATCCCCTTGATATAATTGCACACATGCAAAATGACATATGTTCAAAGTCATTTGCAATGTGGTTATAGCAAGTGACTGGAAACAACCAAATGAACTTCAGAGGACTAGTTAAATACCTGTAGTACATTTGTTCAAAGGAATATCATGTAGCTAAAAAAAATGAAAAATTCTCTTAATGTTGATATGGAAGGATCGCCAAGTTAAAAATTAAGATATTCTCAGTGTGTATAAAAAGGGGTAAGGAAGAATTAGAATATATAATCATATTTGCTTATCTTTACATTTAAAAATTCTAGAATTATAAATAAGAAACTAACAAAATAGATTATTCTTGGACAGAGGGTGAAGGGGTGACTAGGCAGAACTTCTGATTACTTGGAAAAAAAATCCTTAATGCTTAACTCCTTTCTTTTTATAACCTCAACGAATCTGTCAGCAAACCTTAAGTATAAATGGTACACTACTACCTCAATCCTAAACTGTTATCAGATCCTTCTTTAAATTCTGGCTTATTTTTCTGCTCTTGGCCACTTCTAATCAGCTGCCAATTAACTTTATCTGTGTTAAGGAAATCTTTAGTAAGTTCTGTTAAATAGCAATGGTTCTTAGTTACTTTTAGATAAACTATGCCTTTCTCTATATGATTCCAAGTTTTGGCAACTGTTTTCTTTTTAAGAGACACCAAAGTGCCACTTAAAAAGAAAAAGTTACAACTTAAATCGTGTCTGCTCCAACATATTCTTATTTTTCTCATTCAGAGTTTTTCCTTTTACATGGAGAGAGTTATTTTACTTTCCTTTTTAGTAAGAATTACAAAACCCTTACATCTGGAAAAGTAGAAACGAAAAATTTGTATTACAACACTGACTCTGTCAACCAATTGTCTATTTCACATCAGTGTAGATCTACAGACTCCCAATGTTTATAAGTAGCTTGATCAATAGAAAATTTTTTAGCATATACATCTCAATATATGTAGATTATTAAAAAATTATACAATGTACAATGGTATTAATATATTGATTATATTATAAAATTAAAATGTGAAGGGCATAAAAAATTAAACTTTTTAGAACATTTATCAATACATTTTTATTGTAACTAAAAATACATATTAGCAGCAATTTTTTGGTGAAAGCAATATGATATACTATGCCTAATTATTTCTAAATTTTATTTTAATATTTTGTATAGAATGACTTGAAGGGAAGGTCTGGTTATACATTCAACTATTCTGATACATGGTTTTTACAACTATCATATCTGAAAAAGATCCTGATACATCAATCAAATGAAAGAACTACAACTGATTTCTACATGCCAATTATTCAGAGATTCTGTTGAATTTTGGCTAGTAATTTTTCTTCTCTGATGTCAGTTGTTCTTGCAAAATAGAAATATTTTTAACAAGTTAAAACCTCACTGAAATGCTTCATTAGAAAGATTTTTAATATGCTAATAGTCTTTAAGATTTTAGCATTTGGTTGTAAGGTTTTACCAGTAACATTCATTGTTTCTGATAAAAGAACACACACATATGCAAATGGAACCATTTATCAAATATTTGTGTTCAAAATACTTCTCCAAAGCAGGTATCTTTCTAATAATTATTAAAACATTATCAGCTGGGCATGGTGGCTCATGCCTAGAATGATAGTACTTCGGAAAGCCAGCAGTTCAAGAACAGCCTGAGCAAGACTGTCTCTACAAAAAAATAGAAAAATTAGCCAAGCAAAGTGGTATGGGGCTGTAGTACCAGCTACTTGGGAGGCTGAGGTAGGAGGATCACTTAAGCCCAGGAGTTAGAGGTTGCTGTGACCTATGATCATGCCAGTGCATTCCAGTCTGGGCAACACAGTGAGAATCTATCTAAAAAAAAAAAAAATTTTTTTTAAAGCCATGATCTCCCTCAAGGGTCTAACTTGTATGAAGCTTGAACCTCAAAATAAATGACAGTAATGGATTACAACTCATGTAATAGATATGGAATATAAGAAGCCATACTAACAACAACAAAAAAAGAATCCATAGAGGAAAAGGTAAATCTTTCCCTTATGCCAACATTAATATAAAAGGGATAAAGGAAACAGAAAGTTATCAGTGGTGGTAGATTCAGAAAGGAATCATCAGTGTATACTTAGCTGGTAGGTAGAAATTTAAGAAGAACAAAACATCAGCATAGTCTCAATATTACACCATAAAGCACATAAAAGTTACAAAAGGGAAAAACAATGTCTTGACTTTGGAGAAACCTGGCCAATACAGACTTAAACCAGTCATTAGGCTAATATTATAAGTGGTACAACAGGGTGACATCATGTACTTTCTGATGTGATGTACTGAAAAAGCACAGGATCAATTTTGTATAATTCTTGCCAAGAAAGCATGGCCTGACTATGGACATGAGGAAACACTGAATGGACCAAATCAAAGAACAAACTACCATTAATACCCTCAAGGATGGGAAAGACAGAAGAATTGTTCCAGCCTGAAAGAGACTAGAGATATACACTCAAGTAATGTGTCATCTTGAATGGAATCCAGGAGTACAAAGGAAAAAGAGACATTGGACAAATGGCAAAATATACCTGAGATCTTGAAGGTAGTGTCACTGATTTCCACATTTGGATAGTTATACTGTGATTTACAGGAGAGTAGCTTTGTTTTTTAGATAAATACATACAAACAGAAGTATTTAGAAGTGACAGGACACCATGTCTTCAACTTTCTCTCAAATGGATCATAAAGATTGATTATAATGGAGAAAGAGAAACAAATATAAAAGCAAACATGAAAGGTCAATAATTGCAGCATCTGGGTGAGGGGATGTGGGAATTCTTTTTTTTCTTTTTTTCCTTTTTTGAGACAAAGTCTCACTCAGTCACCCTGGGGTTGAGTGCCATGGTATCACAGCTCACAGCAACCTCAAACTCTTTGGCTCAAGTGATTCTCTTGCCTCAACCTCCCAAGTAGCTGGGACTACAGGTGCCCACCACAATGCCCAACTAGTTTTTAGAGACAGGGTCTCACTCTTGCTCAGGCTGGTCTTGAACTCCTGACTTCAAGCAATCTATCGTCTCGGCCTCCCAGAGTGCTAGGATCACAGGCATGAGCCACTGCATTTGGCCCAGGAATTCTTCATAGTACTGGTTTTGCAACTTTTCCTCAAGTTTGAAATTACTTCAAAATAAATTGTGCTTTAAAGTGTGTTCACATTGTAAGCATGCTTGCATTTTTAATATTTGCCAGGTATTACAATACCAGCAGCCATTATCATCATTTTAAAATGCACCTTCTGCCTGAAGACTACCTACCTACCAACATATGGATAGACGCTTCAAACTTACAACACTGAAAATGAAAAATGTGTCTTTGTTTTTTCTTTTTTACATTGTTTGTATTGATGCTTTGGGCCTTCAGTTAGAGAATCCCACAGAAACTTTTATGGACTACTTCTGGCTTCATATACATGTAGATCAGCCAGCAGTATTTGAACTGGCTAGGTAGGGGAGACAACAACCAACCCAAGTGGCCTTGAAATAGTCCCTTGCACTAAGCTTAAACTAAAATGGCTTCGGAGACAGTACTACTTGAAAATAACATCTATCTTTATCTTCAGGCTTCCAACCCACCATGTGATTTCCATTAATCAGCATAAAAGAAAGCCAAGGCCCCCTTCCATCTCTTAAAGCTCTGGCTTAATTGTCATGCACTCCCAGAATCATACTGTACGAAGATGACTAATCACTGACTGCTTCTCTAGCACCATATGTTTCCCAATTTCAAAGGAAAAACTGTCCCAACCAAGAGTAGAACAGATTCCCTACCTCCTGTAGCTGGAGTCGAACCTTGGTAACTGCTCGGATCCAGTGAGCTCTGGCTTGGGTAAATGGTGATGAGGCATTCTCCTCAGGAAAACTTGTAACAAAAAAAGAGAGGGTTGCTTAAAAATAGCCAACGCCGCAAGGTGACAGTACTCAAGGAAAGACTGCCAAATATCTAAACTAAAATGGTTTATACTCATGCCTACACTTGTTTAGTGACTCAGGGCGCTAAAACAGCATAGTACTGAATACTCAATGTGAAAACAACTTCTCTCTAAAATGATAACTCCTTTTAGCTTTTCATCTGCTCCCTCTCTTCTCCTTTTCTTCATTTACCCAATGAAGGCAGCTCCTTGGGACAGTCCAGGTTTAGGACACTAGAAGAAATGACAAGAGCCCTGAATCAACATCTAACATAGAAACTATACAGAGAGGTGTAGAATAAGCCTTTAATTCCTCTCACCATACCTCTCAAGACCCCCATCCTCCCTTGAGGGTTCTGCATTGCACCTTAGGGCAGAATGTTTTTCCTACAAACCCTTCCTGCACCACTAAGTATTTTCAAAGGCTTACCAATTCCTAACTGTGTGAACAGTACCAAGAAAAAAAATCACAGCCTTTTTCCTGCTATGACCCTGTTCCCTGAGCTGCCTAAGGAATACCTTCAGTGAAAAGAACAGTAGATATAACACTGTACTATAGAGATAGAAACACTACCCTGTATTAGAACAAGTCATCACCCAGGTTTTTTAACTGGAATAGTGATTATTGTGTGATAATGTTTGGGGCCTACAGCCAATGCAGCAGACAACTATCTACCATTTAGACATGTAAAATATATGCTAGGCTTTGATGCCACCTGGGTCAATTGTTCTAAAAGATTTGTGGGGACTAGCCAAGGGGAAACTGGACTTCACTTGCATAGCTAGGACCTGAAAAAGTACAACTGAAAGACAAGTAAGTACTTATGGTGGGCACTTCTGTTTCTCTACCAAGAACTCTGCCCTGACAATAGGACTGCTAAGTGTAGGGACCATGAAGAGCCACAGCCAGTCTTTTAGTGGATCATCAACCCAGTGAGAAGGCTGGTAGAGAGCTCAGGCTCTTGGATGTCTTGCCTATTAATTTGATGAGCCACCAAAGGTAACTAAAAACTAAAAAGAGAGGGAGAAAAAAAAAATCTATATTTTCAGAAAGGTATGTGACTTATCCATTAATCCAGTGGTGGAGCAGAAGCACCAACCATTCTCTAACTTTTACCACATAATTAGTAGTCACTGTTCTGGTACTTTCATGAGAGGTTTTATGATTAGACATTAAAATCTGAGAATTTAAGAGACACCCACCCCTTATCACTCTAATGCAATGGTTTTCAACTGGGAAAAATATTCCTCCTAGGGGAAATACATCAGGAAACAGTTCTGGTTGTTACAACTGGGGGTTGCTACTGGCATCCAGTGTGTACAGGCCAGTGATGTTACTAAATATCCTATTATATGAGGGTGGACGATTAAGTTCTTAAACTCATCCTAGAAAAAATTCTATATACCACATTGCTGAATATCTCTATAGCCACTTTCAAAGTAGCCCTCTTGAAAAGCTATGCACACATGTCACCACCTAGTCTACCCTTCAAAGCACTTTTTCTAAGACAAGATCATGAGCTTACTTGGCAGACCTCATACAATGACAGCTCTAATGGCCATTCCAGAAGAAAAGTTCCAAAATTGCTTTGAAGGATAGATTAGGTACTAGTGTCAGTACATAGCTTCCCAAGGGGAATATTTCTTTTTTTTTTCTTGAGACAGAGTCTCACTATGTCGCCCTTGGTAGAGTGCTGAGGCATCACAGCTCATAGCAATCTCCAACTCCTGGGCTTAAGCGATTCTCTTGCCTCAGCTTCCCAAGTAGCTGGGACTACAGGCGCATGCCACAATGCCCAGCCATTTTTTTTTATTGCAGTTGTCATTGTTGTTCAGCTAGCCTGGGCTGGATTTGAACCCACCAGTCTTGGTGTATGTGGCTAGCACCATAACCACTGTGCTACAGGTGCCGAGCCAAGGGGATTACTTCAAAAGTGACCATAGTGATAGTCAGAAATGAGGTATTTAGCACTTTTTCTAGGATGAGTTTAAGACCTTAATTGTCTGACCTTGTATATATAATAGTTGCCCACAAACAATTATCTGGTCCAAAATGTCAATAGTGCCAAGACTGAGAAACCCTGCTCTGCTCTAAACTATCAGTTACCCTAACCAATTTAGCTTAATAACACTAATACTTTGTACTAAGCTTCATCATAAGACAGTTAAAGGGAAACATTTAAAATTTTTCTTCTTATGGATACCAATTGTCAGATACACTGCTAGGCCTGTGGGAGTAGAGGGGTGGGTTAAATCTGGCTTTGAGATTAATCTGTTCTTATCTCTGTCCTAGTTTTCTCAGCTATAGTAAAGTAAAATGTTCATCAAAAAAGTTAAAACATGGCTTGGCGCCTATGGCTCCAGTGGCTAAGGGAAGTGGCTCCTAAGGCTTCAGCCACATACACCTAAGGTGGTGGGTTCAAATCCAGCCCAGGCCCGCCAAAAACAACAATGACGGCTGCAACCAAAAAATAGCCAGGCATTGTGGCAGGTGCATGTGTTCTCAGCTACTTGGGAGGCTGAGGCAGGAGACTCGCTTGAGCCCAGGAGTTGGAGGTTGCTGTGAGCTGTGATGCCATTGCACTCTACCCAGGGGGATAGCTTGAGGCTCTGTCTCAAAAAAAAAAAAAAAAAGTTAAAACATTTGCTCAGCGCCTGTAGCTCAGTGAGTAGGGCACCAGGCACATGCACTGAGGCTGGTGGGTTTGAACCTGAGCCAGACCTGCTAAACAACAATGACAACTGCAACCAAAAAATAGCTGGGCATTGTGGCAGGCACTTGTAGTCCCAGCTACTTGGGAGGCTGAGGCAAGAGAATCTCTTAAGCCTGAGAGTTTGAAGTTGCTATGAGCTGTCATGCCATAGCACTCTACTGAGGGCGACATAGTGAGACTCTGTCTCAAAAAAAAAAAAAGTTAAAACATTAATAGGCTAAGAAGTCAGCCAGAGCAACAAAGAAGTCAGCCAGAGCTCTACTGAATGAAATAAACTGGCTCAGGTCAGTTCCAGACTCAGAGGCTGCCATATATGGGTCAACTAGAAAGTCAAGCATTGTAGACTCAGGAAGTCCTGGTAACACTACAGCTCACCAACTACAGGGAACCCAGATGTTCTTCCTCTGAAGAAAATGTATTGGACATTACACCAAAAATCAAAGGAAGCAATGCAGAATTGAGCCTGAGTGTCTTAACCATGACCATACCCAGCTGCAGGGAAACAAATGAAAAGAACTTTTATTCAGCAATACTACAGAGTGGGTACTGAAGAAGCTATGTGACCTCCTCAAGGCAGCTACCACCTACCTCTCCTGGGGACCTAGTATGTGGTCTTTTTGTAGCACCAGATCTGGGGGAGGAGGAGCTGTGGCATCTTCTTTCACCTCCTTGGGTTCACATGTTATGCCCTTCTCAGCTTCACCTGCCACCTCCAAGGTTTTCACTTGTTCACCAAAACCTCCTTGGCCATCCCTGGAGAGACTGCCAGAGCTGTGGCAGGAATGAATTGAGTCTCTCTCCCGACGGTCATCGTCTTGTTCATGGTACTGGTCTAGTTCACTCAGCTGAGAGCTTCCTTGACTCACATTACAAGAAGAGCCATACCTACTACTGCTGGTGGGGCTGTGAGAATGAGAAAAACAGATGAGTAAATACATGCAAACCTGGGCAAAAACAATGAATAAATGTAGGAGATAATGATTATATTAGTGGCAAGAACCACAAATAGGAGATTCCTGGAAAGACAGGACCAGACATCACAATCTAGAAGAATGTCTCTACTTAGCAGACCACAACAGGGAAAAACACAACATGCTGGGTTCTCCAACAGCACTTAACCTCAGCCCTGTACTTGACTTTGAAGGACATTTTATCTTAATGTACTATCTTTGAGTAGGACTAAAAATTGTGAAAATAGCCTATTATTTATTCCTAAACTTAGTCTTCTAAAGAAACTTGTCCAGTGGCTATGATTAAAAATTTTCTAATTTCCACATAATAAAATGAAGAGAGTGAACTCCAATTTTTTAATTTTTATTAAATTGAGGTCCCCGTTCCTTCTTCTGCAATTGTAAATATGTAGGAGCAAAAGAGAGTGGACACTTCACTTATTGTTTCAGCCTCCTTATCTGCAGGATAAGGTAACAGAAGCCATTGGGAGATGGAGGCCAGGACCAAGAAATTCCACAGGAAAGTGGTCTCATCAACATGAATGCTACAAAGATATCTCTGGCAGCACTGATATGGCCCTAACACGAACTAGCCCATCTATAAGTGAGCTGCTGTCAGGAAAGGCTTAATTTTGGATAAAGTGGACTAAGTCCAACTTCAGGACCTGGGTCAGAGCCAGGTCATACATCTCTGTACCTAAAGAGAAGTCAGCCAAATTTCTCCTGATCATCTGAATTTCCATGCCCAGAAAGAAAAGCTATTTCCCTATTATGAGATAGCAGTTATGGCAGAGAATATGACAGTAATAACAGTGAAAAGGACAGAGTGGTAGGAAAAAAACAGCCCTATCCTCTAAAATATCGGATCTTTTGATAGTACAGGGATTTAGTGATGATATACAAAATATATCCCAGTCCATTTGAATATTTCAATCCCAAATCAGGAATCTTGATTTCATTACTAGTATCCTGTCCTTCCATGCAAAAGGACAAGGTATTTTCTTACCATAGAGTCAAACCTTTAGCTAATGGGTTTGTGTTTACTCTTGGTCAATGAAGAGAAATACTTGTTATTTTCCAATAAAATTTTCTGTAAGTTTCCTCTCAATTATCTGGTATTTTCAGGCTGATTTCTGGTTCCCTTCCCATATCAGGAGAAAACAGGTTACTGTTTTAAGTAGTTTCCAATACACATACACATAGGACCAGGCATGGTGGCTCATGCATGTAATCCTAGCATTCTGGGAAGCTGTGGTGGGTAGACTGCCTAAACTCAGGAGTTCAAGACCAGCCTGAGCAAGAGCGAGACCCCAACTCTAAAACTAGCTGGGCATTGTGGTGGGTGCCTGTAGTCTCAGCTACTTGGAGGCTGAGGCAAGAGGATCTCTTAAATCCAAGAGTCTGTGGTTGCTATGAGCTATGACACTACAGTACTCTACCGAGGGTGACAAAGTGATACTGTCTCGGGCAACACCTGTGACTCAAAGGAGTAGGGTGCTGGCCCAATATGCCAGAGGCAGTGGGTTCAAACCCAGCTCCAGCCAAAAACTGCAAAACAAACAAACAAACAAACAAAAAAACACACACGCACACAGAATCTCTAATGCCCCTGACCAATCCATTTGAATGAATTTGACCCAGAGGTTAAGGTTGCATTAACTGCACAGTATGGTGCTTCTTCTTAGGGGAAATAACAGTATCCTCAATAGGTTAACCCTGCACAGTGCCTCAGACTGAAGAATTACATTAAATGATAGGTCTGAGTTCCTATGAGACTTAACTCAAACCTCTTATCAGACATAATTCTTAAGGAAAGCAAATGGCAGAAACTAATATCTTGGAAGAAGCTATGCAAATCCCTGTAATAACCAAATCCAAATAACCTGGAACACAGATTATCCTAAACCATACTTTGCACTTTGTGTTTTACTTAATTCCCTCATTGCCACTGGACAAAGCATCTTAGAAGACTTGAAAAAAAATAGATCATCCCCATTTACTATAAGATGTAAGTGCTTAAGGCCTAAGGAAGCTTCCCAGCCTATCATGTAGTTGTAGTTAATACACACCATCAACTACTTGCTGCCTCTTCCTGCCCTCCCCTGTCCATTTCCCATTATACATGGCAGAGCAAACCAGAGTAAGTAAATCTCAGAGCCCAGTCTTTCTTCAAATAGGAAGCTCTGTGTTCCAATAAATGAATTACATTTGCCACTAGAGAGAAAAAAAATACCCACACATTAGCTATTGGTACTTAACCCCTTATTAACATGAAGCTCAAGTACAAGGAAAGATATAGGAAGGATAAAAGCAAACTAGACTCATCTACCACTAAGTCATTTGCATCATCATAAATGGTCAATTCCTTAAAGCCATTTATGATGCTTGAGTTGAGAACAGGCCTTTTGTTGGTCACTGATGCCTTGATGCCATTCAGAGTGACTGACCACTGTATATTCAAAACAGAGTCAGTGCTAGCAGGCACTGTCTCCTCTTCTTGTTTTTCTCGTTGGTGAATGAGCTCAGAGACAGTGTAGTGCTCTTCCTTGTATTTCTCTGAAGGACTCATGGAGCCAGAGAGGTTGCCTTTGGTATCCCAATGTTCCTCAGATGCTGGGATTTTCTGCTGGTTTTCCACTTCTCCAGGCCCTGAAGCCTCCAGCACATGTACATGTGGCTTGGCCTCCAGCTGCTCAGATGTCCCAGAAGGGTGAGTCCAGACCTCAGCTGGCTCAGCACTTGCCTCAGATACTTGAGAAGACTCCAAAGCTTTGTTAGCCTCACTGGAGCTAAGGTCCTGATCACTGCCAATACCTACAACTGGAGGGGAGGATTCTGCAGGTATTTCTTCAGGGACTCCTTTGTTCTCTTTTGACCATGGAAATGAAAGATCCAGCTTCATTCCAAACCCTAGTTTTGGATCACTTGCCAACACACTCCCTTTCTCCTCACTACTTCCTTCAAAGAGACTCGACAACTTCTTAAAACTGGACATTAAACCAGTCTCTGCTGATGTATTGCCAGAGGGGGAAAGTGGGGGAAAAAAAGAGCTCAGTTGTTTCCCATGGTCTGTAGCAGAGGATGGAAAGCAGAACTTTGGCCAATTGGTCATGTTTGGGATTTCAAAACGAGGCCTTGACTGCTCCGTTTCCTGAGGGACTGCAGGTGGATCTTTTTGGGCATGAAGTAGTTCACAACTTTCTTTAGCACAAACCACAGGTTTCTTCAGTGGAGAAATAGGAAAGTTCTCTTGGGTTTCCAGTTTGGTGCTCTGGCTTACATTTGCCTCACTTAACAGAGTAGTATTGGTTTCTAATGAATTGGCTGTATCTGCCTCCAAGAACTCTTGGTTTGTGGAGGCAGTTTGAATAGCTGGTTCTGGCTCAAGAGGAAGAGACAGCTCAACCGGAGAAGGAAGCTCTTCTCCAATATAGGTAGGATCTGGATGCAACTGTGCTGGCAATGAAATATGCTCTGCTTCCAATGATGCCTCTGTGTCTGTACCCTGCAATATCCCCATGTCTCCTTCATCACTCAAAGACAATCCTCCTTGACCAGTATCATCCCCCGAGAGAGAAGACATAACAATTATTTCAGAACTTCGGGGTTCTGGAACATTTTCAGGAGTATTGTTGTTTTCCATTTTAGTTGTTAGTTTAAGATCATCTGTCAAGGTATCTGATTCTGACTCTGCACTAACCGTAGTCATTCTACAGTCACCAAGAGTAGATTCTAAACTGGGAGCTACAGAGGCAGCTTCTCTCCACAAACCTTCTGAAGGTCCTAATCCTACAGCATCTCTGGAACAATTATTTTGAAGCTGTGAAGTAGTTGGGATAGATGATTCTTGGTTGTATGTCTCAGGTTTGGGACTTTTGAAAAGTCCAAATAACTGACCTTTGAGGGGCTGAGATGACACACCAGAAGAAAGAGAGAAAAAAGAGTTTTTCTTTGGAGATTTAGGAGTGGAGAAAATTCCAGAGAGTGTTTTGGGAGGTTCAATTAAGCCCCCAGAGAAAGATTTCACTTTGGTCACAAACCCTGAAAGCATTTCTACTGAAGACCCTAAGACTGATTTGTCTTCCTCTTTCCCTATATCTTGGTTCTGGAGGTGACCCACACATTCTGGCTCTGGAGAGGATGAGGCTGGCTCCAGGATCTGTGGTAAGATGTCGTCAGGAGCCTTTTCTAGTGGCAAGTTCAATGGGTCACTAGTTAATCTTTCATTTAGGTGGCAGTTAGTACAAGTGTCTAAATCATTTAACTTTTCAAATAAATGGTTATCATGTGAAAAAGAGTTGGTCAGTGAGTCACTGGGGAAGGCCTTCTGGTTCAAAGCCTCTTCTTCAGGAGTTATCCCAAGGGTCTCTGGGCCAATAAGGAATGTTTCAGTCAGTGCCTGATATTCAGGTGAAGAAGGAACAGTATCTTTTTGCAACTGATGCATCTGGAAATCTGTTGAAGATGTCCCTGACCCACTACTTGAACTCAGTTTTCCCTGATAGTCGTTCTCTACACTGAGTTCATCTGTAAGAGAGGTAGCCTCAATAGTGTCACTGATGGAAATACAAGGCGCCATTTGCTTTTCATGAACTACTTCTTGGGTTATGCTGTCTTTACGACCATTGGCAACTTCTCTCATCCCTGTGCCACCAGTGTCTACAAAAACACTTGGCTTCTTACAGGGCTGAGAAGTCACTGGAGCAATAGTTGAAAGGTTTTCTTTTTCCTCCGGAGTCTCCTGCTTTTGATCCATAAAGGGTAAGTTGAATAAACTAAAAGTAGAGCTCTTATGAGAGGGATCCTTCTTGATGTTTAAGTTCATAGTGTTAAAAAAGGAAGGCAGTGTAAATAGCCCTTCTGCTTGAGATTTGGCTCTTGGTAGAGTAGTAGAGGCTCTGCTCTCAGACTTTTCAGATCCAGTCAGAAAAGCAAATATATTCTTTTTGGTTG